CCTCTCTTCCAGGACTCTGCTGTCAAAACAGCCCCAAGAGAATGTATTCCTACCCCACCACAGCCTGCAGCCTGAGTTAGGTTTGTATTCCCTCAGGCAAAGCAAATAATAGTTATATCCCCTGCTTCCTACCTGTTCTGTAGGCATTACGTGAGCTCGCATGGGGAGGTGAGCACCACATCAGCTACAAGCTGTGTTTTAGGAAAATGGCAGACACAACTGCATTTTGTCTGTAAAGCCAGTTGAGGTTTCTTGGGCCTTCTCTGAGCACAAGTACTGCTACATCTCATTTTTGGATCCCAGCCAGATTAAAACTAGAACTAATCAGTCCCATTGAGACTGGGTCAGCTTTGAACATGTGCAGGCATAAAATGCTAGGGATTTTTCAAATGAAAATCAAGGGTGAAATTTAGATGGTTTCAGGGGGAGGTGGTGCTCGAACAGATTTTCCAGGATTGCAACCTTGGTGCCTATATTCTGTGTGAAGAGCAGAAGATCTGCCTGGGGCCGTGCCCCTCACATGGGCTGGGGAGGGAAAACAGGAAGAGCATCTTCTGCTTCCCTTCTGCGCTCTCCACGTTGTGGCAGACTGCACGGACTGTTTCCTACTTGACTCAGTTTAATTTTGTTTGGAATAAGCCTGAAAACATGCTTTAACTATTTCTCCCTCTCCTGGATGTTTGTGCTGTTCCAGTTAGGTGAAAATTAATACTAAACTAGCATGTTGAGACTCTAAACTCTTCAGCTGTGACTAATCAGCACCATCCACTGCTTAGGGCTTTTGATGCTGGGAGGACTGAACGGTGCTGACTGTAGTCATGTCTCTGAATGATTAGTCCATTGGATCACATGCCAAATTTATAACTGCTATATTAGATGAACAGATGAGGGCTATTAAATTACGTGCAGGGGGGTGGGGGGACATCACTGTGATCAGAACTTGCTTTTTTCTTTTTTTTTAATGCAATTTTCCCCCCCTTTTTTTTTTGGGTGGCAATACTTAGGTAAGGGGGGGGAGTACATATATGCCTGTGTGCAGTCTGAAACTTGCAAGGTCCTGAGGACTGTAGCCTCAACTCAGCAAAATACTGAATTTAAATATGTGAGAAAAGCCCTTGTGGTTTCTTTGAGTCTGTTTTACCTAGAAATGTATAAATACTCATATCACCGTGGGAAGCCTCAGTCACATTTACACTGAGGCCTGCATTGTATTGTCTTCGCATTCTAGCACAATCCTATGTAATTACACCCACAAAACCATTACTTTTAAGGCCTGCTTTTCTTGAAAGGATCCCTTATAGCCGCTTTGTAAATTAGCTCATAAAAGATATATGCTTCTTGTCCACTCTTGTATTCATTAAGAGTTTCACCTGCGTGAGGGTTGAAAAACCAGGATAATTTATGTCAAGGCCCTTGGAGATCAGATATCTAAATCAACTGCAGAGTAGCAGAATGCTGCTGTCTGCTTTCAACCTTGCCACTAAGTTTTAGGCAGATACAACTCAGGTGTGCTTATTATTGCTGTTTGGTTTATATCCATGCCTAGAGGGTTTGTTGCGCTAGCAGTTCCATGAATGCGTACTGTGAACAGTCCTTGTCTTGAAAGTCTCCCAGTCTTGCAGGAATGTGGGAGGTGGAAAGCTGTAAGTGAACTTCTCTAACTTTACACAGAAGATCACGATAGGTATGGATTAGGAACCAGGTTCCCCTTTCTGTACCCTATCTGTGCCTTTAACTTGCGGTCTAAAACAAGGAGACGGAAAGTTACCAATGAGGCTTGTGTGGAATGCCAGTCCCCAGGGGAAAAGGGACCAGAGGAGTTACAAAGGCTGTCAGCTTAAAAGGTTACCACACTTCCTGCGGTAAAGATGTAGGTGCTCAGCATCGGGCCACTGAGGCAAGTAAGCGGGTGGGTTTGTTAGGTTGCTTGGGGAGGAATTTTTCCCACTGAAGTGCTGCAGGGCCATTGGCTAGGAGGAAATTGCCAGCATTACAAGTTACTTGCATGTGATTTAGATTTTCCTCTATGTGACAGTAGCTTAAACACTTTCATGTGCATATTGTTACAATAATAGAGTATTGAAGGTGTCAGTTCTGGGTTTCTAAACCTTCTGTACCTCCAGATCTTTCTGAACTGTTTGTAGTGGCACTTGAATAGACAGAAAGGACATCATTAGAGCAGATCTGTATTATTAATTGCATAAAACCCTTGCACATCTACTGTCTGAAACCAGCACTCAGTTCAAACAGTGTCATAACCTCTAGCTTCATTTTTTCTGTGTTACCAGGACAAATTAACCCATTAGCTGCACACACTCTGTTGTGAGTCAGAGGTATATGACTCATAGGAATAGAACACGTTTCTATTCTGGTTTTAATTAACTTGGCCTCCGCCCAAATCCTCCTTACAAATGAAAGATACTAGATTAGCTAAAGTCTACAATACATTTTTATGGTTTGTGCTGAACTTACGTGTGTATTTTTATGAGAAAATGCTACAAAAGACTCCCATGAATGCACTAGCTTAAAAAGTACGCAACAGAACTGCCTTATTTGACAGACTGTTAAAGTATTGTAATTAATCTTGTTTGTTTGTTTGCCTTGCAAACTATAAGAGAACAAAAAAAGAAATGCACAATTCTAACACATTGGGAAATTAGTCCCAGTCTTGTTTCAGATGGGTGGAAAGCAAGTTTGTGGTCATTACATTTTCAATAGAAGTACAGTCTTAGGTGGCACTTCCCTTTGTGGTTTTCATAATTTTGCTATCTGGGAACTTTTATTTTTTCTTTCTTTTTTAAGAGAAAATGTAAAGATTGAATTGGTCAAGATCCCTATCAAGATTTCTAATTGGGTCACTGTGCCTTCTCTTAATAAAGCAATACCAAAATCAAATAAAGTCCTCAAATATAAATAGCAGAGAGGGTAATCTGAGCCACTACTGAGTGTAGCCTGTCAAAAACGGAAGCAATACTAATTGTATTTACACAACTTTAAAAGAATTAAAACAAAAAAAAAAAAAAAGAAAAAAACCCCACCCCTCTCTGACCCTCACAGAAATCAAGGCCTGAATCTTACTTAACACTGAACTTTCTTCATGACACCTTGGGGACTCTTAATGCAAATGAGAAGCAGGCATAGAGATACTTGGTGGAGCCTTCCCACAACGCCACAATCTCTAAAGAAACAAGCACAGAATAAAAGCAGAGGGTGAGGGGAAGAGAGAGAAATGTATCTTTGTGTGAACACTTTATAGTTTGCAACATGCTCATATAACACAATGAGGGTGGGCCAGCTGGCTGTAAAATAACCTAGACTGATAGATTAATCAGGAGTATGCTCTGTGTGCCACCAACTGTCCTGTGACTAATAAGTTAGTTTTCTACTTTGGCAGGTTCCATGAGTTTACTTGTAGCATGAAGAGGAGAGCTGGAGGAAAAAGGTCAGGATTTAAAAGGGGCTCAGTTTGAGGGTCTCTGAAATGAAAACTTGCATGTGGACCACTACTTCCCAGACTCTGCAGTCCCACAATTTAATTCCAGTTGCTTAGAGCACTTAATCAAGATCTGCTTTCAACTCTGCCTGCCGCCAGTTAGTCCTGATAAAGCCCTAACTCGCCTTCTCATTGCCTAAGTGGTGACATTAGGACTTCCATCAAAGC